AACGTTTACTTTAGATTTTAAAACTATTAATTGGCCACCATATAAAGATCATGAGAAAAACATCTTATTTACTTAATAAAAAACATAAGCAGCATCATAAAAGTAGTAATTAATGTAAATAAATTATTACCTATAGATATACATTTCACATGTCTCAATATTTTAAAAAATAAAAATAAACATTTTTTTGATACATATGGTAAGATGATTTGATGATAGAAATGTATCGAAAAAGACAAGGTTATAGAGCCAGAAAATCCTATATAAAAGTTGTCATAATTATCTATCTATATCTTGTAATAAAAGTTGTATTTTACTGGAAAAAATGAAAATACAAAAAGTTAACTCAACATAGGACTAAAAAAAGCACAAACTCAACCATGGTTAGTTAGGTTAGCTTCACGCACTACACACCACCAAGAAAGGAGACAAACACAGGCCTATAGAGAGAGAGAGAGAGAAAGTGGAAGTTTTAGAGAGAGAAGAAATCAAGGCGTATATTAACTTGTTTTCAGGGTTCAGTAACGGCGTTTTCACATTTCCTGGATTGTAGTGAGAGAAAGAGGAAGAGGTACTGTGTTTTTAGAGAGAGAAACAGAGTTCTGGAGCTGAACATCATCTCTTCCGTTTTCCGATCTGTGTACTTTGTAACCGAAGATTGACGGTTTAGGGTTTCATCTACCTGGTTAAATTTCTTCATAAAAGCGAGATTTATTGAAAGGCTGCCGTTATCACTGGTTTATGCATATAATGCGGAAAAATTCATGATTTTGAAGGTTTAATTTCCCGGCGATTTGTGTTTTAGAAGACTTTCTGCGGTCTGAGCTGTTCAATTTAGTTTTTTAACCATGGATAATCGAGGGTCATCCTGTCTCTCACCTGAAGGTGAAACTCCTTCACGGTTTCCTGCTAAACATGGTTAAAATTTCCTTGCTTTTATGTATCTATGCTACAAATTATATGCATATACCTTTTCCCCAATTAAGTTAATTACCGATTTGAGGTTTTCATTTCTCTACCATTCTATTCTAACAGTAGTAATTTCTTCCTGTTTTTTTTACGTTGCTACTGATTGTTGATGTAAGTTTTTTTTTTCTTCTAAATTTTGATTATGATGGGGTTCTTAATTTTGTGAAGATCTGCTGTATAAGGAGCTATGGAAGGCATGTGCGGGCCCACTAGTGGATGTTCCAAGGGATGGAGAGAGAGTTTTCTACTTTCCTCAAGGCCACATGGAACAAGTATGTAAAAGATTTCTTATTCTTGGCTTGAAAATTTCAGATCTCTGTTTGTTGGAGTTTCTCTTAATATGCAAGTTTTAATTTCTTGACTGTAATTGGGTTTATTTTTCTAATTTTCTTTTGCTATTTCTGGGTTTTGTACAGTTAGAGGCATCAACAAATCAGGAATTAAATCAGAGGATTCCTCTCTTCAACCTCAAATCAAAGATTCTTTGTCGTGTTGTTCATACTCAGCTAATGGTATGTAATATTTTGCCTTTACAATATTTATTTTCGGATCGATTGAGGTTTTAAATTTAGATTATGTCTAATTGCTTGAAAGGTGGAAGCAAATCAAAATATGTGGTTGTATTTGGTAGTTAAAAATGTTAAATTCCTCTACTGAGCTTCTTTTATACTTTCTGAAATTTCATACTATAATTCTTCTATTCGTTTGTAGGCTGAACAAGACACAGATGAAGTTTATGCTCAAATCACTCTACTGCCTGAGATAGATGTAAGCATATATACATATAAACTTACTTTTTTAAGTTTCTATTTTTTCTCACTTTTCTGTAAACAAATACACAGCAAAGTGATCCAACAAGTCCTGATGAATGCTTAGCTGAGCCTGTGAGGCCAACTGTTCACTCTTTCTGCAAAGTCTTAACAGCTTCAGACACGAGTACTCATGGTGGATTTTCAGTCCTCCGGAAGCATGCAAATGAGTGCCTTCCTCCATTGGTAAACTCTCTTGTTCTTCTATACCCTCCACCTCCTCTCTCGACTCTCTTTTTCATGCTCCAAATCTCACCAAAAATTTTATATTTTCAGGACATGACACAAGCAACTCCTACTCAGGAGTTAGCAGCAACAGATCTACATGGCACCGAGTGGCGATTTAAGCATATCTTCAGAGGTCAACCACGAAGGCATCTGCTTACAACAGGATGGAGTACTTTTGTTACTAATAAGAGATTAGTGGCTGGCGATTCGTTCGTATTCCTTAGGTACGTACGGATTTCTTTTCTTATATTCCTATTCTACCCTCCATTTTCAAGAAAATTCTGTTTTAATCTTGACAAAAATCTGGTTAATAGAGGGGAAAATGGAGAATTACGTGTTGGAGTTAGACGCCAAGCTCGCCAACAAAGCTCCATGCCCTCTTCAGTAATTTCAAGCCAGAGCATGCATCTTGGAGTGCTTGCAACCGCATCACATGCTGTTTCAACTCAAACCCGGTTTGCAGTTTACTACAAGCCAAGGTATGTTAAAGAAAAAAGCGAATCTTGATTGTGATTGTAGCTACAAAGATTTTTTTTTTTTTACAATATGGTGAAAATTATTCAGGACAAGTCAGTTCATCATAGGGTTAAACAAGTATATAGAAGCTGTAAACAATGGGTTTACTGTTGGCATGAGATTCAAGATGAGGTTTGAGGGCGAGGATTCTCCTGAAAGAAGGTAACCCATGAATTTATGAATTATTTTAATCCGGGTATTTAATCTTTTTTACATTTGGATCCTCAAAAATTAAAACTTTTTTTCATTTGATCAGGTTTACAGGCACAATAGTTGGAGTTGAAGACATATCTCCTCAATGGAACTGTTCTAAATGGCGTTCTTTAAAGGTTAATAATTTCTCTCACTTAGAAAAAAAGAAGTCAAGATTCAAAAAACTAAACATGGTCAAACTTTTTTGTTGACTATTTCAGGTCCAATGGGATGAACCTGCATCTATCATGAGACCTGAAAGAGTTTCTCCATGGGAGATTGAAACTTTTGTAGCTCCTGTTCCCACAAGTATACCTCAACCAGTTGCACCAAAAACCAAGAGGCCTAGACCTCCAATGGAGATCCCTAATCTTGGTGAGTAAACTTTTTTTTTTAGGTTATAAAAACACTTTTTCCATATAATATATTAACTTGTAGTTTATTATTATGTGTTTTAGAGCCTACATGTTCCACAGTATCAACTGTTTGGAACCCTTCACATGATTCAGCCCAGTTAAGTTGTACCCCTGAAGGGCAAAGAGTTGATAAAAACGGGTGTCTTTTAAGGACTCAAATGGAGGTTGGTTGGCTATCATCATCTTCTCCAGTAAAAGCATGTAGAAACATGTATGGAGATGAAGGCGAAGATAGAAAAGGTCAAGGTCTGTCAGCTTGGTCAACTTACTCACCTCGCGAATCCATCAAACAAACAACAAATGAATCACATTCAGTTGAAAAAAAGAAACCAGAAAATGTTTCAAGTTGTAGAATATTTGGTTTCGACTTAAAGATCCCTAATATTGAGAAACCACAACCACCACAATCCTCCATTGAAGGAGGACAGGTGGCAAGCACTTTATCAGCTGTAATTTCAGACAAAGAACAAGAAAAGTTGCATGTCTCCCCAAAAGAAGTTCAAAGCAAACAAACCACATGTACTACACGTAGTCGTACCAAGGTATGTACTTACATATCAAATTTGTGACATTCACATTTATGATTTATGTAATCAAATTGATTTATCTAATAATAATAATATTTACATGATACGAAAATGAAAGGTTCAAATGCAAGGGATAGCAGTGGGGCGTGCAGTGGATTTAACAGTGTTAAAAGGGTACAATGAGTTGATTGATGAACTGGAAGAAATGTTTGAGATCAAGGGAGAGTTACGCCCAAGGAATCAATGGGAAATTGTGTTTACTGATGATGAAGGTGACATGATGTTGATGGGTGACGATCCATGGCCGTAAGTTTTTTTTTTTTTTTTATTTTAATTTATTTTTTAAATAATATCTTTTAAAAATAAAAGAATGAATTTATATATATTTTATGGTGGTGATTTGTGTAGGGAGTTTTGTAACATGGTGAAAAGGATCTTGATATGTTCGAGTCAGGATGTGAAGAAAATGAGGGCGGGAAGTAATAAGCAGCAGATAGAAAATGAAGAAGCAATTGAAAAATGATTTACAAGAGTGGAGTGGTGTTAATTAATTAATGTTCCCCTTGCTAGTTTTTTTTTTTTTTTTTTTTTTATTTTAAGAAAAAAAAAAGTAAAATTGTTTCGGGTGTATTGTCGGGTTTTAAGACAAAAAGTGGATGATAAAAGAGGGGTCGGGGTGGTAATTTGGTGTTTATTTGTTAGAAAAAAAGAGTGACTGACTTGACCCTCGGCTCTTGAAGGAATAGGAAGAAGATATTAGGAGTAGTAGTGAAAATATAATGATGATGATGTGTATATTAGGGAGAGGTATTTGGACGTTTTAATGCTGATGGGGAGTTGTTTTTTTTTTTTTTTTTTTAGTTTTCTTGTGATTGTATATAATCTTATTATTGCTTTAATAGGCAAAAATCTCCTGGTTTTTTGGTGTATCTTTGTAATTTACTCTACCTTCACTTCTTAACCTTACCAAATACCATTCCTCGTTCTTTTTTCTTGTTTTTGAGTATGCATATCGATAATGAGAGTAACAACAAGCTAAAAATTGAATGTGTTATATGGTTCTTACAAAAAGTGCTTGACGATGTATGTGAAATGCTTAAACAGTTATTTTCTTCAAAGATTCTACATACTGTATATGTATCATGTACTCATGATATGCAGGAATGTGGATGATGTATGTAAAATGTTTCAACAGTTGTTCGGGGTCCGCTACTAGAAAAGTATATTCTACATTGGCCTAAACTTGCATTGGAGGTGACTGCGTTTTGGCGGGTGTTTAAGCAATGTTCTTTTGTTGTATACACGTAAAAGAAAACTCATTAATGGTTGTTTTAAAGGAAATTTTGCAAATATAATGAAAGTACATTGCTACAAATGGCAAATCAAAGATAATTAATTATAAATTACATATTCATACAGAGACATCCAGATACAAACACCTACACAACTTATTTAAATGTAGGTAGACTTGGCTTTCGAAAAGATTGTTACCCCCGGCCAAAGCTAATGCAAGAGCACCGTCTTTTCTTATTCCTAAAAACAGTTTTTACATTAGCTAAATTAACATATCAATGGAAGTTAGTTGTTATGTCTTGCCTTTAACCCTAATTCTAAAAATATTCAATATTGATATCGTTGGTAAAAAATAGTACCTTCTCAAGTTGTGCTCCATAAAAAAGGCTGCCAAAAAAAATCACAAAACCATAAGTAGGCAGCCTAAAACCCATCAAAGAATGTTCTAATGAGTTTTTTTTTTCTTTTTTTTAATAACATTGTACTTGGAAAGTATGCTATAATTGGGTGGTTGTTTTCAAATTATGCCCAAATATAACATTGTACTTTCAAAGTACAATGCTGTAATAAAAAAAATTAATATTAAATTTAGAAAAAGAAATAAGAATGCGAAATAAATAAATAAATGAAATAGTAAGTTTCATATGCCCAAATAAAGCTTGCGTTTATTTTATTTCTAATTTTTAAGTGACGAAAAAACTCAGCTTTTAAGTGCATAAGAGTGTAGATTTAAAGTGCTAAAAGTGCCTTAAAGTGTAAAGTTTAGTGTTAAATTTGTTGCTTTTAAATGCATAGAATGATAGAAATGCAGTTTTTTGCGGTTTTTATATGCATAAAGTGCAGTTCTTTAACGCAACTTGTAGACGGTTTTATGAAATATGGGAATTCGTTGCAGATTTGGTTGATTCATGGGTGAATTTAAAGTCGCATCGGGGAGAGTGGTGTGTTAATCTTTATGCATATATAAACCGCAAAAAACTGCATTTCTATGCATTTAAAAACCGCAAAAAACTAGATATTGTCACGTGATAATAAATTGATGCCTATTTATGACAGTCAATATACCAATCAACTTTAAATAGTTTAAATCAATTACATTTAACTAAAATAGTTGTGTACTAGAAGTACACGAATATATAAATAGCATTGGGGTTTTATGGGGTAAACAGAATAAATCAACAGTAATAATGACGTCAAGATGTCATCAATTGATCCGTTAATCTTTAGCCCAAACCTCCTTTAATTAACAATTTTTTTTTTCCTCTTGAAATAAGAAGTTCATGTTTAATCGGCTTGGAGAAAAAATAACTAAACAATAAGAATGTTGAGAGAGAATTACCTCTGCTGTTCCAATACACATGATCCAAGTCTCCATGAAACACATGATTTCGATCAACTTCTTCTTTTGTTTTCATCTAGTGTTCCTGATATTACAACCAGATTAAAAGAGCAGTCAAACATATTTTTCTCATAATTCTGCAAAAAAGATCGAATATAGTTCAAATAAAAGTGAAACAAATATCAAAGTAAAAGTTATACCTTAGCTAGCCATTTTTCAAGGGAAAATCTATAGATTTAGATATCATAGTTATAAAACAGAGTTATCATCCCTAATAAAAAGTCTATTCGAACTGATTAATCAACTTCTAAAAATAATACTGGAGCTTAAGCAAAACGCAAAGAAAGGTATTGATACTTTTCATTACTCTTTACCAAATTGTAAATATTTTCTCAAAAGAACCTACAAAAACTTATTTGATTAAAACAAATTAGTCATTTTAATTCAATCTACAAATCCAAAATGAAAAACATACATAATTTTAATTCATTTAAGTTTTTAGATCTGTTATAAATCCATAAAGTAAGCCATAGAAACGAACCTTTTCGACTTCAAGTCTAGGAAAACTTCAAATCCCTGGAAAAAACAAAAACAAAAGACAATTATGTTTCCAGACTTGTTGCAAATCAAGAATCAAGAATCGAAATCTAGGATAAAGAAGACACCAGTTTCAAGTTCACAGTCCAGGTGGCGCAAGGGCTTAGAGAAAAAAAAAAAAAAAAAAACTAAAATATAAGAATATAGAGAGACAGTATTCGGTAACTCTGTTGTGCTTCAATCTTTAACTTGCTATGATGATTTTGCTCCTTCTTCTTCGGTGAAAATTTGCATGTCGGGCTTAAGAGGCAAAATTTTACTCCCAAAAGATGCCAAGAAAACACAAACACAAAATAAGAAAATGAAAGATTTTTATGCCCCTGATATCACTACCATTTACACTCGATGTCATGGTGAGGTAAGACGCAGCAGACGACGACATTGGAAGCACAAATGTTGTAGGGTTCTTTGATTCTTTCTCCAAGAGTGTCAAGCGAGTAAGAGAGAGATGAGATGGTGAAAGCAATAATGGATGGTGCATGATGCGTGTATGGTGGTAGTGGTTAGGATGAAAAAGTAGCGTGTTGTGGATGTTGCGTCTAGGGTTAGATAGAAGGAGGGAGATAATGGGTATGCCTTTCTCAACCCCATGCCTAACAATGTTAGTATATAAAATACTGTAAATGCCCTTTAATATATCCCTGTAGCATGATGTGCTCTTAAGAACAGTGTCAACCATTTTGTCAAATGTTAGTTTTTATAATGCCACACAGTTAAGAAATCATATCAGTTCTAAGCATGCAAATGTAGTATAACCCATAGTCTCTAAATAGATACATATAAAATACAACAATTTCTATATAAACATATAGATTAAACACCTCAGTATTGCTATCGCCACATATTAGACACTATTGTAATTACCTAAGAGGGGATATATATATATATATATATATATATATTATATATATATATATATATATATATATATATATATAGCTAGATTCATTTGTTTAAACTAATTATTGTGTTATTGTACGCATAAATGTAAGCCAATCAAAATTAAATAAAAAATTAAATAATTAAATAAATAAATAAGGGTAATATAGTAATTTGTTTAGTAACTACCAAAAATAATCCCTATAATTATGGTATTTGACTTTTAACCTAATTTCTCTAGTTTATAAAACCTACAAGTATTACGGCAATGGAGATACCGTCGATGGCGGAGGACACAAGGCTATTTCGGATTGGGGAAGAAGCTGAAGAAGGCAGAGGAAGAAGCGTTGGAGATTGCGAAGGAAGTAATTGAGTCAGCTGAGAAAGGAGTCGAAGCGGAAGAGAGACAGATCGAGGCTACGTCGATCGTTAATGGAATATTAGGGATTACGATCGTTACTGCGGTTTTAGTTCCTTTGTCACTAACAGCGTATCGTCAAACCCATACCTGAAACAATAAAGGTTAGTTTTCTTCCTATTCACGTGAAATTACTCATTGATTCGAGTTTAAATCGATTTTTAGTTATTTCTGTATGTGCAATTGTTACTGTTCATCTGATTGTGTTTAAAATTTTAAAGCTATTTTACATCAATTTATGGGATAGCGATTTTTAGACACACACCCCAATACATTCACACACATGTATAAACACCATCTTCATATCAGATAATCAATCCTCAATTTTCTTTTTCCAAAATTTCACCTGTATACCTGCCCGCTGTTCTGAATCTAAGTTTCTCTCTAGATAACGCTTTAATCTATTGGTAACGTCTTTATCCTTTCAGTTTTTCCCATAGTTTTCGTTAGATATATGTCTGCTCTGTTTTTTTCGTATGTGTTGATCTATTTCTTTGTTTTGGTGGAATTAATTTAACTTTCACGAGTTGAAATTCTTTGAGATGAAACAGAACTGTACCTTTGAAACCGATTCATATGTATATCAGTAACATCGATTTTTTTTTGGTGACGAGATATACGTAATACGTCCATGTTTGAATTGCGTGTAATTGTTTTTGTAGTTTATATGATCCAGTTAAACTCTTATCCGTTTGAAAGTTTTTAGGGGGAAATTTTGTCCATAATTTTGATGTGGTGATTCTTAATCAGTAAATAGTTGAGATTAAAACATTAGGTAATCTAAAAGACTATTGATTACTTGTTCAATCGGTGTATTTGCTCAACATCTGAATGGAACATTTTGGGGGAAAATATTTGTTTGCCAAAACGACCTGACCAGTTCAACCGTATGTTAGATAGTAATAGCAAAACTGCAAATTCACCCTTTTTCTTACCAAAATTGCTTAAAAATCGAGATACAATGGCTAACTAAATGAGATAGCATAGTTCCCAGCTTAAAAACATTTTACTTAACTTGTTCTCTCTTGTAGCTGCAACAGATATCTATCCAACATACATGATGAAGATTGGGAGAAGAGGAATTCATTATCTACACACATTAAACAGTGTTCCTAAGGATGTGATAGAGAAGGGCCAGAACCGAGTCATGGAGGCATCTCTTAGACTCATTCGTGAGAGGGCAAAACTTAAGGTATGTCCATATTTCATTATGCATTTATAACTTAAGTTTTGACAATAAGTAATTTTATTTTTTATATATATATTTTCAAGGGAGAGCTAGTTCGTGCATTAGGTGGTGCATTATGTAGTGATATATTGAAAGGGTTTGTAGAAATCTTAAAGAACACAAAAATAATTCTACAAGAATATTGCACACCAGGTGTCTGTAGAAATGTCTGAAAGAGAACTTGATGTTCAAATTCTTGAAGAGCACAAAAATAATTTATAAGTTCGTTATTTTGTGTTACTTGATTTTATCCTGTTGTATGAGTTCTCTTAGAATTACTAAATTTTTTTTTATTTTTGTCGTATAAAAGCATTCTCACAATGTTTTATTCTTACATAATTCATTTTCATGACAGTTATTCTCATAGAATGAATGAAGTACATGATGATCAATGACCCGAAGGTTGGATGAATGCGTTTGGGATAGACATGAACAATCCTCAATGGTCACCGATCTTCCAGAAAAAATGGCACTCTCATTGTCATATTATGTTAGTTAATTATAATAGAATGATAATAGTATATGTAATAGTATATTCCAATAGAATAATCTACATATTATATTTGGTTGTTATTAGGGAGTGTTTCATTATTATAGAATAAAATATAAACTTTT